TTATGTTTCTGCCAAATAGCAATTCAGCTGGCGCTTTATTCGTAGATCTATGCGGAGTAGATATGAAAGCCATAAGTATCTTTGGTAACTCGCTTTGCCATACTTTACCTTTAGTTTTGGCATTTTTGATACATTTCTTAAGGTAGCGATGAAACCGTTCAATTTCCCCATTTGTTTTAGGGTAATAAGGTGAAGCAAGTAGATGTTTAATACCACATGCGTTAAAGTATTTCTCAATTTTGGCACTTATAAACTGTTTTCCATTATCGGTTAAGACCTCATCAGGGTATCCAAATCTTGCGAATACCAATTGTAAACATTCAATAATAACATTGGAAGTTATCTCTTTTACAATAATTGCCTCAGGGTAGGAAGAGTAGTAATCAGTAATTGTTAAAATATACTCTCCTTGAATTGGCCCGACCAAATCCATCCCTAACTTACTCCAAGGTCTACACGGTAATTCTGAGGTCTGTAATGGTTGATCTTTAGGCAGCGCTTGATTAATTTCGCAAGCAGAACAGTTACGAATATTGCTTTCAACATTAGCATCCACTTTCGGCCAATAGTATTTATCGCGCAGAACTTGTTTGGTTCTAACCATTCCTTGATGTGTTTCATGTGCTAAGCTCAAAACACTTTGTCTTAACTTTAAAGGTACTACTATACGATTTCCCCTTATTAACAAAGAATCATAAACAAATAATTCACATTGGTTAACATAATATGGTTTCAGTTCATGTGTTACCAATCTAGGCCACTTTCCTGTCTCCATAATATTATTTACATTTGATAGAATATGGTCTTTATTAGTTTCAATTTTAAAATCATCAATAGTCAATGCATCAGGTTCTGAAGTATACATATGCACAACCTGTCTAATATAGTCCTCTGCAATAGTGTTCGAGTCTGAGCATGTCAATGGAAGGCGTGACAATGAGTCTGCAATGTTTTGTTTTCCTGGTATGTGCTCAATGTCAAAGTCATATCCTAGCAATCTCCATGACAATCGTTGTATTCTAGCTGGTAGTTGGGAATTAGCTTTTGGACCAAACATGTATATTAATGGTTTATGGTCCACTTTAACCTTGAATTTCTGTCCCCATAAGTAAACATGAAAATGTTCAATTCCCCATACACAACCTAATGCCTCTCTTTCAACTTGTGAATAACGGCGTTCAGTTTCGGTTAGTGAGTGGCTAGCATAAGCGACTGGTCTGAGTTCACCTTCCGTCTGTTCCTGTAGCAAAATGGCTCCTAAACCAACTGGAGATGCATCTGTAATCACAATAGTTGGTGCATTCATACAATAGTATGCAAGACAAGGTTCAGTACTAAGACTCACATTAAGATCATTAAACGCTTTGTCACATCGCTGCTCCCAATTCCATGGTATTTATCATGTGCTAACTTTCGCAATGGCTCTGTTATATTTGCATAATTCGGAATAAACTTCATCAAATATCCACATGTTCCTAGAAATGATCGAAGAAGTTGAACATTCTTTGGTTTGGGGGTGTTCACAATCGCTACACCTTTGTCAGGATCCGTTTTGACTCCGT